TTTGTAAATTTATATGTGATACACATGAAAGGATAGATAGTAGACATGCATATACCTTCCTATATATTCTTTTAGCATATTTATATATACATATATTGCCTTATTTTAGAATTAACCACTATCCTAAATTTTATGCTTCTCATTTATTTAAACTTTTTTGTTTTTAAGTTTTTAAAATATTTTCTTGAATTTACTAGAGTTACATTGGTTAATAAGATTATGTAGGTTTCAGGTGTACAATTCTGTAATATATCATATATATATTGTACTGTGTTTACCATCCCAAGTCAAGTCTCATTAATAGATTTTTTTAAATCATATATGTCCCCAAACAAATGTTACTTAGCTTTGCTTGTTTTTAAGATTCTGAAAACTATGAAACATGTTGTTAGGTCTTCTATAACTTTTTAGTTTTCACTGAAAATTTTGTTTCTAAGGGCCTGGTTTTTTTTGTTTTGTTTTGTTTTTTGTTTTTTTTTTGTGTGTGTGTGTGTGTATGTGTGTGTGTATTGGTATAGTTCCTTTTTACTGTTGGGTGTTATTCCATTATGAAAAGTACTAAGCTTTATTGATCTGTTCTTTGGTATTTGGATGTTTGGATTGCTAACGATTTTTTGCTATGATGAGCAATGTTGCTAGAAATTGCACATGTCTCCTGGTGTACAAATGCGAGAATTTCTCTAGGTCACTGCTTCCCAACCTTTTTCTTTTCATGGAATACAGGAAATACTTGTTTTTGTATTGTGCCAGTGTGTAAGATCTCAAAGTGCCTGGAGAGCAGTGATTCATCGTAGGGACACTCTCTCCAGGAGGACCTGTCAGTGGAATTGGTGGAACATGGGGTATGGGAGGTTAAAGTGGACAAATTGTTTTTTAAAAGTAGTTGCTCAAATTTGCAGTCCCACTAGGAGTCCTTCGGAGCTTCTCCGGGCCCACACTGTTCAGGGGTCCTCAAACTACGGCCCGCGGGCCACATGCAAATACAAATATTGTATTTGTTCCCATTTTGTTTTTTTACCTCAAAATAAGATATGTGCAGTGTGCATAGGAATTTGCTCATAGTTTTTTTTTTAAACTATAGCCTGGCCCTCCAATGGTGTGAGGGACAGTGAACTGGCCCCCTGTTTAAAAAGTTTGAGGACCCCTGGTCTGGATGATCTGGTGTTGTCAGACTTCTGGAATCTTGCTAATCTAACATCTGTGAAATACTATCTAACTGTAGTCTTGATTTACACTTCTTTTTTTCTGATGAGCTTGAAAAATCAGTGTATATTGGTTCGGTTTGGTGATCTCTCCGGTTTTGGCTTGTGCCATTTTTTGTCCTAATGTGTTTTCTAATGGATTTAAAGGTAGTTTTTATTTTTCTTTATTTTATTTTGTTTTCCTTAATTTGGAATACAAATTGTATAATGTTTTGCAAGTATTTTCTATGTGTTGGTATATTTCTTTTCATTTTACGTAACTTTTGGCCATCATAAGTTCTTAATTTTTATACAGTTAAATTTAGAAATCTTTCCTTAATAAGTATATTTATAAATTTAGGTATACTGATTGGGTATTTTTGTTTCTTGTTTAAGTAAAACTTTTCTTCTTGAAGATATTATATTATTTTGTCATTTCTATGAAGTTTGCCTTCTCTTTTTTCATATTCTCTTGTCTTTAAGTTTTTTTCTTTTCTTATTGAACTTAATAGACCTGCATGAGAAGACTGTGTATAAGCAAAGGGCATATTGTTATAGATTCTCTTTTTCTTATTTTGTTTGGTTTGTTTGTTTCTCTTACCTATTGAAGCCAAGAGAGCTGTCAGCACTGTACTAATCCGGATGGATTTTTTCCTCCTGGCAGATGACTGTGATGAGCCTTTGGTGCCTGCCCTGTCTCAGGCCTCGTTCAGCAGTTCATCCGAACTCTCTAGCAGCCATGGTCCTGGCTTTGCAAGGCTAAACCGAAGAGATGGTAAGTCTGTTGCTTTTTCTTCCCCTCTGAGGATCATGATGAATCTCATTAATTTTCCGTTCTCTTTTAATAAAATCAGTATAAGTGATATGTTGTAAATGAAGTAAATTTCTGAATAAGCAAATAGTAGAAGCTCATGTGATGTACATGATGTGTAGGATTGATTCTGGCATGGCAGAGGGATGCATCCCATTTTAATCCTGTATGATCGTTTCAGCACCTGAAGAGCTGAATTCCTTCAATCTGGCAAGCTTTTTTATATACCCTATAAAATAAACTTTTCTACAACAGTACAGATGGTCCCTGACTTGGTAACGGCTTGACTTAGGATTTTTTGACTTTATGCGAAAGCAATACACACTGATCATTTCCTGAGCTAGGGATAATATGGTACCACACTCTCAAGTGATGATGGGTGGTGGCTGTGAGCCGTAGCTCCCAGTCAGACACGTGATCACAAGCTTAAACAATTGATACTCTATAGTGTACTATGTTCCAGCCATTTTTTTGATACTGTGTTCTGAGCATGTTTAAGGTAGGCTAGGCTAAGCCATGTGTTCAGTAGGTTAAGTATATTAAATGCATTTTTGACATATGATCTTTTCAATTTATGATGGGTTCAATGGGAGGTAACCCTATTGTCGTTCTTTTAAGCTACAATCCTTATGTACAGGATTGTACAGTAGCCATCAAAATCTCATTGGCCCTATGTTTCAAGATAAGCAAGGAAGTTTGCAAAAAGAAGTACTTTTAAAAGTTACTAGTTATTTAAAAATAATAAACTCTCAGTGTGTTTCCTTCTCAATGTGGATGACGTGATTTGCTCTCCTGTTGACCGTTAGGTTGTGTTTAATTGCTCGAATTCGTTTAAAGTAAAGTGCATATAATTCATTGGCAACTTGCTATAGAAATAAGAGAGAATTTCAAAAGTCTGCACTTGGGGACAGAAGATGATCGTGGTCCCTTTTCATAATCTGCTAAGGCAAAAACCACCTGTGTATGTATTCTATGGTGATACTAACACAGAAAACATTTTGAACAACCATAAAGCAGTGCACACTGACATCATATATTATTCAAACCGTGATTTGCTCATTCATTATCCCCTTCTAGCAGGCCATATGTCAGCCACCTCTTCTAATTTTACTGCTTGATGTTATCCTTGGTCTGTTTAATGTTTGAGTACATTGAACATTAGGCATAGCAAGTAGATCATGTGTGCATGTGTGTGTGTGTCTGTCTGTGTTTTGTCATCTGGTACACATTATAAATATCTAACAATTGAGCATGATTTTAGATTTAAGTTTATTTCATTTTAAAATTTTATCTCATATTATTTGAGATAATTACTAATGTGTTTCTTTTATATTGACATAACTACGTGTGTTTCTGAGTGTGAGAGTGTCAACAAGAGTAATCACTGAGATCCTTGTGGAATGGGGAATTGGGAGGGCCTTGAATATTTTTGTGCTAACCTTTTACTTTGATTTGCCTTGTAGTGAGAGTTATTGGTCACATTGGACTATCTCTCCCTATTTTCAGTTCTGAATCCCTTATTGATCACAGGCAAGTGAGCTTTCCTCAACCCTCTGAAGGCCCATCCTGACCCTGTACCCAAGGTCCTCCCAGTGGGAATGCTGCCGTCACAGCACTGCTCTGGGATGAGGTCCATCTGTGCTCCTTTAAAGTAAAGCAGAGTTTAACATTGGCCACCATTCCATTTGAGTAATAAAAGCTTTCATAGGATTTGGCTCTTGGAAAGAGATACAAAATTTAATTTAACCATCTTTATTTCATTTGTTGAGGTTCAATAAATCACAAAAAGTATATATAAGTTATTAATTGGGTAAAATTATATTTTTCATTAATTCACATACTCATCAGAAACCTCCATCAGTGGGACTCATTTTCATTCTTAATTCGTTTCTATGGCTCTTGGTGAAACACAATATCAAACTTCATGAATCTCATTTGCATGTTAATGAAACAGAGAAACAAAACAGGCTCATTTTAATTATCTTTTGCTGGTTGTCAACCTACTTGATTACATTTTTCTTTTACATTTAGTTTTTCTTCCCCCCCATCATAATTACATGAAGCGTTCACAAAGGAACGTCAGATTTTGAGTGATTTATTAAAGCCTATATATTATTTCTAGTATGGCAACATTCCTTGTAGTGTTTAGATCAGGCTATGGAAGGCTATTCAGCCAAGTTAGCAGGCCATGTATTAAATCAACTGAATCAGCAACTAAAGGCCCTACTGTCCTACAAGCACAGGTAGGGTGACCTCTTTCCTCTGGAATCTGGAAAACTTAGAGCCAAAGATTGGCAGACAAGAAGTGAGAAACCAAGTTCAGTAGCCCACTGCCTTCCCTCTGTGCAGTAGGAACTATGAAAATGATTAGGCCCTCTAAAGGGGAACTGAAGTCAGGAAAAGTTTTCATGTTCTCATTTCTGCCAGCAGGGAAGAAGAAAAAGGAATCTTTTTTTTTTTTTAGGTATGTTAATTTAAATTTTCTTACTTGAGTGTCAGTGTGGGTTGAATTGTGTCCTTCAAAGGAAACTTTCACATCTTCACTTGGTCCCTATAAATGTGAACTTATTTGCACATAGGGTCTCTGCAGATATAAGTTACGGTTATATCGGACTAGAGTGGGCTCCAAATAAGGCCTTATCAGGAGAAGGAGAATTGGAGACACATAAGGATAGAAAAGACCGGTGGAAGGCAGAGTGAAGACAGAAGCAGAAATTGGAATGATGTAGCTACCAACCAGGAAAAGTCATGTGTTGCATGCAACTACTGGAAGCAAGGAAGAGGCAAGGAAGGATTCTTCTCTGAGGCCTGCTGAGAGAGATGAACCTGCTGACGCCTTGATTTTGGACTATAAGCCTCCAAAACTCTCTGAGAAAAAAATCTGTTCTTTTAAGCTGCCCAGTTAGTATATGGTGTTTCTGCAGCTCTGAGAAACTAGTACAAGCGCCAGTGAGTAAATAACTTCTTTTCGTACTCTCTTTGCACTGGGAAGATGCATCTCAATTTAAACCTGGCAGACTCCCTAGCTCAGAGAAGTTTAATCCAAACTTAACTCTAAACAACACGTCAAAAAACAATCACTACTAATCCTGGCTATAAAATAGAACTTAATCTCCCTCTACCTCAGGGGTCCTCACACTATGGCCCGCGGACCACATGCAAATACAAATATTGTATTTGTTTCCGTTTTGTTTTTTTACTTCAAAATAAGATGTGTGCAGTGTGCATAGGAATTTGTTCATAGTTTTTTTTTAAACTATAGTCCGGCCCTCCAACGGTCTGAGGGACAGTGAACTGGCCCCCTGTTTAGAAAGTTTGAGGACCCCTGCTCTACCTTGACATAATATTCCCATTGTTGTAGCTGGCCTACTGTTTGAAATATAATGGACAACTTAAATTTTTATTATTGTCGATGTAGAATTCAAACAGGTTCCAGTGCACCATTTGATAGTCTATCAAATGTATGCTCTTAGAAGAGAATTTAAAGAAGCCATATATGTAGAACTGCTCCTGGGGTTGCAAAATAATCCCAATGTATTTGGAAACCTTGGAAATGGGTTATTGCAAAGTGATATACTTGTGTATACAAGTAAAATAATAAAGCAGTAAATAAGATTAAAAATAAAATATTTATATGTGGGAATATAAACAAATATATGTACATGTGTTAAAGTATAAAACAGATAGCTTTCATAACTGACAAATGCAGGGATACTGTGCTTTATTGCACTTCACAGATGTTGGGTTTTTCACAAATTGAAGGCAAGACCTCCACCAGCAAAAAGGTTACAACTCGCTTCTTGTGATACTCGCTTTATGTGGTGGTCTGGAACTGAACCCGTACTATCTCTGAGCTATTCCCGTTTTCTCTCATCTATTCTGAAAGATCAAAATATTTCCTGTATTTTCCCATCATCTATTTTTTTTTTAACCACAGCTAAACCCTTCTACTCTAAATGCTTGTAGAACAATGCTTTCCCAGGCATATACAATCTGCTGTTATAATCAAGTATCTATTTGCAGCAAAATTAGCATATATAGTTAATTAACACAAAGAGCTCTCATTCTTGGATATACTTCTATTGTGAATAATTATAACATTCTATGAAGAAATATTTGGCGATTCTTTCTGCCCTAAATCATCGCACTTGTTTGCATACAACTACTACGCTTACATTAAAATCCCAAAGATAAATTCCCCAGATATGCACGATGCATGTCAGTACTTAAGAGAACAGATGAGGTGAATGTTTCCTGCTGTCAAACATATTGCACGAAATCTTCTATAATTATTACATTAAAAAAATAATAACATTAGTGTTTTGGGTTTCTTCGGATAAGTTCCCAGAAGTAGGATCTCTGGTCATAAAGCAGTTCCATTTTTAATTTTTTTGAAGCAACTCCATACTGTCTTCCACAGTGGCTGCACCAATCTGCATTCCCACCAACAGTGCGTGAGGGTTTTCTTTTCTTCACATCCTTGCCAACACTTGTTGTTTGTTGATTTGTTGATGATAGTGTGAGGTGTTATCTCATTGTGATTTTAATTTGCATTTAAGAAACACTTATTCGAAAGAATATATGCACCCCTATGTTCATTGTAGTGTTATTTACAATAGCCAGGATTGGGAAGCAGCCCAAGTGTCTATCAGTAGATGAATGGGTAAAACAGCTTTGGTACATTTACACAATGGAATACTACTGGGCTGTAAAAAGAAAAAAGAAAGAAAGAAAATTTTACCCTTTGTGACAGCCTGATTGGATCTGGAGAACATTATGCTAAGTGAAATAAGACAGTCAGAGAAAGCCAAGTACAATATGATTTCACTCATATGTGCAATCTAATGAACAGACTGAGCTAACAAGCAAAATAGAGACAGACTTAGCAGGCTGACAGCTCTTGGGGGAGGGGAGACTGGGTGGTGGTGGAGGGATGGAGCAAAAAAGAAAACAGAAAACTCATG